CTCTCTCTTCTCTCTCTCTCTCTCTCTCTCTCTCTCTCTCTCTCTCTCTCTCTCTCTCTCTCTCTCTCTCTCTCTCTCTCTCTCTCTCTTCTCGCGTCTCTCTCTCTCTCTCTCTCTCTCTCTCTCTCTCTCTCTCTCTCTCTCTCTCTCGCTTTATCTATTTCCCGCTTTTCCCACCTCTCCTTCCTACTTCACCACTTCCTTTTCCTCTTTCTCGTTTTCTTAATCTAATCTAATCTAATTACCTTTTTTTGTCAATTCATTCCCCATCTCAACTAATGCTCACTATGGGTCTCTATATGTTAAATTTATAATATATTGAAAATAACAGTTCTGTTTCAAACACTCCGTTGCCGTGATTTCCTGATCGTATGCCTCACTGTCTTTTGTTAATTTTCGACGGTTGGAAAATTTGTCGGTTTTTCCGAACGGCAGCGTTTCTTGCAAACACATGACTCTATTTCTTTCACGAGTAGGGACGATAGCAAATGGTTAAGTGGTTGAATGTGGAACTGCTGCTCTCTAGTGAGAGTCTCGGGAAAATCAGCAAGTGCAAACCTTAGATCATAGACTCGGTGCCGTACATGAGAATGTCCAGCGTTGATGTAGAGTTTTTTCGTAGAATGTTGCAACCCCACGGTATTTGCCGATCTGGGCGATAGAGGTCGCTGCTCGTCTGCTACCTTTGCGTGCTGCTACGTGACCTTGCTGAAAGACGATCATATATATCTATATATATCCAGTACCTGGTTAGGATCGATATATACTCCGCTGACCGAGACGTTGCCATTCGCCATGTATATTCGCAGGTTCACAGGCACGGCGTCATGTTTTCGAAAGAAAATGCCAAAATTAATTTCATGTTTTACTTTCACTGCCCTGCAACGGGGGAAGATATCGCTCAATCGAAGTAGCGAGGTGGTAATTTGCAATGCGCGCCACGTGCCTACCTAACACTGTTTTTGAGTACTTTTACGAATTTATCGAAACGGCGAGACCTTTTTAAATCATCTGTATGCTAAGCAAATGTCGGGCGAACAATTGCCGACCAAGATCTCTTCTCAGGCGTTATAAATGCATGAAAACAAAGTACATTTCCCGCAAAAATTGTCTATTAATATACCTATATATATACCTAATATATATTTTAGATACCGCCACATGTTCCGTAAACAATTTTACGTGCCTCTCAATAATTGATGGGACCCTAATGTGAGCATATGATAGAGGGTTCGAATAATGAATACTCGAGTGCACGACTAATAGTCTCACTAAAGTGTGTGAGTGTCTGTTGGATGTGTATGACCGCGTGTGCGTACGTTCGTACTTGCGTGCGTGCGTGCGTGCGTGCGTGCGTGCGTGCGTGCGTGAGTATGCGTGTACGTGCATGGTTGTGTGTGCATGTGTGTGTGTGTGTGTGTGTGTGTTGTGTGTGTGTGTGTGTGTGTGTGTGTGTGTTGTGT